TCCATAGGAGGGCTGGTATCATCAAAATACAACAGTTGGTTTGTTGCGTATGTTAGACCAACAAAGTTGGTTAACCAATGAGCAAGTAGTTTTTATTGTTGGGAGAGTACAAATTGATCGCAAAAAAAAATTATTTATCACTCAAAATTACTTCAAAATCCCTGACATTCGATGAAAACGACCCAGAAGCGTTGCCGGCGCCATTTTTGTTGTTTTGTACACATTTTCGCGTGATTTAAAAAAGCCGGGTGATTTTCCACCAGATGGCGTGATTTTTGTCCACCTAGCGGTAATTTTGATGAAGTTACCAAAACGACAAATGGCTGCATTTATTTTGTCAGGGAAAACTAATCCTGAGTCAGTTAAAAGTCAGATTAGATTTTTAACATTACAATTTATATTTTTCCAAGCACACAACAGTTTAAAGCAAAGTTTAGTTTGAAAAGAATGTGCAGGAAGGATTAAAAAAAGCATGTTAACACGGTAATGTAGGCTTGAGTTCATTATCTGACGCATGCATATACACACCAGGAACCTGGAAACTTAAAAAATACTGAATTACAAAAAAACAAAAATGTTTTATTGATATACATACAAAAAATTAATATCAGAAACTATATTTATCAAACATTATACTGGGCAAGTAAAAATTGTTTCTGGGCAAATTAAATGTGAAAGCCACTTGCACGAAATCCTTAATGTCAACCCCTGCGCAATGTTATCATAATAGTGAAAGAATTCTGTGGTCCTTGGGGGAGGGTTGTAACATTTTTGTTGTTAAAAAGGACATCTTATTAATGTTTAGGGCCGTGAGTAAAATCAGCTGCCTGAGTTTATAAATGAAAGTGCAGCTGTGCGGCAGAGAAACAATCGTTCACTACAAAAGGCAAAGCTGTTGATTTTGGAAAACGATTGTGGCAAAGAAGGATGTTTGTTGATTAACTTTTTCGAAAGTTAAGAGATCTGTGTGATGGTTTACATGTTTCCTTTATTTTTGAGCACTGTATATAACATTATATGGAAACTCTGGATAGTCTAAATATATGTGTATATATCTATTGATAGATTATATGTTTATCACAGTGAAATGGATGTAGTGTTCACTGATATGAATATCAATAATAACATAAAAATATAATTGTGCATGTGTGCATGTATTTGAGTTGTAATGTGTTTATTCAAATGTGTGCATATATGTACATTTCCACTATACACCAATAAACCTATTTATTGAAAGAGATTTTTCATGGTTTGATTGTGTTTTCAAATATATATAAAAACATCATGTGTAGTAAGGGATAGGAACTGCTAAGATACTGCTTCCCACTCGTTTTTTGGGCTCAGTACAGTTATTGAAGCAGTATAAATATTTTTCTTTTGGGACTTTTAAGTTGTATTTGTTATACATTTTCCCTTTATTTTCTTTTCCGTTCATTCAAAATTAAATTTCAATTATTTATTTGTTCAAAAAAATTCTCTATATGATAAGAGTAATCCTATAGATATCCTGAAATGAGTTCTTACCCAGTTTCACTGTAGTCAGACAGTTTTTGCTGGCTTAGATCTGAGCTTGAATTACCACATAAACCCTGCACAGGTACTTCACTTGATCCTAGAAAGAAGGAAAGAGATCAGAGTAAGCAGCAGAGGTGGCTTGTCAATAAAGGGCACAACCCCACCCAACCAATGTCCTTTAGAAAGACATAAAAAACCAAATATATTGATATAAATATATTGTGTTGTTTTAATTTAATCAGATTTGTGACCATTTCTGCCCTAGGGCGCAAAAATTGACTCTCGTTAAAAGTATACATGCCCAGTAGCTTTTGCAGTACAGAAGTATAGGACGAGGTGGCAGAAACTATCATTACAGTCGTAGTGCAGGTGATTAACAGGTCAAGTCATGGAAATAAAATCCCTTAAAGTAAAATTACCAAGAAAAGCTGGAGGTGAAACCATTTGGACCTTATCAGTCGAACAAAAGCATTCCAAAAATCAGCGTTCGAAAAGACAGATGGTTCATTTATTTTTTTTCTAGAACCTGGTTAAGCTACAAGGCTTGGCTAAAAGGCTTGGCTAAATGCATGCAGAGAGGCTAATGCTGTATCCTGCTTTCCCTGCCTCCTTTTTCAAACTCTGACCCATCATGGATAAAGACAGATAGGACTGAATTAAAACACTTTTTAGAAAAGGCAAAGAAGCATGAACAATCTTGGGTTAACATATAAAATAATATAATATAGTGTACTTTTTCTAGATGTTTGTTAACTTGCATAGTTACTCTTAGATAAACACATTCTTAGAAAATACATAGTTTTTATATATTAAAAAATATAAAGCTGAGTAATGGATTCTCCATTAATAAACTGGTACATAATTTTTTAAGTCTGTGCCACCATATTGGACCATGCAAAACACAGATTTGCCTTCACAGAGCCTCAGAAGGGCAAGATTTATGCACAAAAAGTACCGTATTTTCACGACTATTATGCGCATATAAACTTCTTTTTTTCCCCTCAAAATGTGCGGTGCGCCCTATGTGTGTTGTTACTGCGGACGTTGTTGAGACCACCATGAGAACGTTAAAGGGGGAAGTGTGGGCG